ATCCAGTCTTTGATTTGTTAGAGTAATATAAGCCCATATCAATTGTTCCTCGGAGATAACGTAATATATGTTTAATTCCATTCCAATATCTCCGTGTTGGAGCAGAACTATATCTTACTAATAAATTTATAGAAAAGACTATATCGAGCCGAATATTATTAGCAAGATACATCAATGCACCGGTGGCACTAAAATATGGTACTTCGGGACCAAGTAGTTCTTCGTTATCTTCCCGAGATCGAAAAGGATCTTTTTGGATATCAAGTGAATGAACTATCATTGGGCTAGTCAATGAATGATCTTTATGTAGAATCATTGTAGAACCTTTTTCTATATAAATTGGTCGATGAATGAAAATCTCATTCTCCGAGTGCTCGAACTACGAGTCGAGATAACATTTTGTTTCTCCAAGATATTCACATCAAATTCTCTTTTTAGGTAACTCATGACACTTGGAATCTCTTCGGGAGTTCCAATAATATTTAAGTTATCAACATATACAACAACTCTTTTTTCAAATAAAAACATATAAACAAATAGGGTTATTTTTTTATAACTTTCTTTCAACAAATAATCATTGAAGTAATTATATCACATACACACGGGTTAGTAATAAACGAGTAGATATAAAAATAAAATATAAAAAGTATAATATAAATTGAATTTCTAAAAACTAAAATAATAAAATAAATACTAATAATCCTAATAGAGATCTCTATAATTTAATTAAATTCTTTTCTCGAGAATATATATTACATGCTTCGGCATGTTAAGTCCTTCTAGGACTTTCATACCGATATCATTTCAAATGAACAAATAAATTGTGATCACATTCATTAGATACATACATATGAATGTTTTTCATATATTTTTTCATGCTAATGAGATAACAACGGACAATTGCATCCACTATAGGAGAATATCTTTCCTCATAGTCAATGTCAATTCTTTACGAAAACTTTTGTGTTAAAAGTTTTGCTTTATATCTTATAATCTCATCTTTCTTATTTCATTTTCTCATAAATACATATTTGTATCTCACTAGCTTAACATCTTCGGGTGTTTTAGCTATGGGTTCAAAAAACTACTCTTTTATAAGAGAACATAATTTTGCCTAGATTGCTCTTTTCATTTAGGCCAATCATCTTTATGTCGACATTCTTCAATAATTTAGGCTCGGGATCCTTATTTTCATCCATAATATCAATTGCAATATTATATGCAAAAGTCTTATCAATAGATGTTTCTTTTCGGTCATATTTTCTCCTTGCATTAATATAATTTATCAAAATCTCTTGATTTTTCTCAAGTATTTGGACTTCTTCGGAAGCCTATGATCGAAATATATTGGACTCGTTTTGTAAATATTTTCATCTTGCCCTTTTCTTTTAGGGATTTTTATTTTTAGAACGAGATCGGTCTTTCACACTTTGGGCGTGCTTTAGATTTATTAGCTATAACATTAATAGATCGTCATTCCGAGACATCAATTCTAATATGAGCATTCTCGGTAGGGACATGCATTTTAGTTACTCATTTAAGATCTAAGAATGCATCCGGCAGTTGGTTTCAATACTCGGTAAATGAATTATCGTTTGAACTTCTAGTTCACATTATCTTTGACAAGAATCAAGGTGATATAAGATAGAGTACTCCATGTAATCTTTTTTTTTCAACATTTCTAACTCGCTTATTTTGCTTATTCTCTCCCCTAATGTTGAAAAGCTATTTCATCAAAATGACGATCGATAAATCGAGCCGTAAAAATTTTCTCTTGTTCATAAATCAAGAGATTGAATTATCGAAGATGATTCATATATTCCCAATCTCTTTTAAGTGCTCATTTTATTTCATTATAGAGGAGCACTAAGGATATACACTACAATGCCAAAAATTCTTAAATAAGAAATAATTGGCTCATGACCATAAATCAATTGAAGAGGAGAGAATTTCGATAACTTATGGGTCATATGCGAATAAGTGTTGCTGCATGTAAGATCGCATGTCCTCAAACATAAACAGAGAGTTTTATTTTTAAATAACGATTTAGCTATTAATTTGAGCCTTTTGATAAATGATTTTGCTAAACCTTTTTGAGTATGAACATGAGCAACAAGATATTCAACCTTTATTTTAATAACCAATCAATAATAATTTAATGCTTGAGAAATAAATTCATCAGCATTATCAAGGTGATTTGTTTAATGGCATAATTTGAATATTATGCTCGCAATCAAATTATTTGCTAGCAATCTAAAAAACGTCGGGTTTCGAGTAGATAATAAGTATATATGTGACTATCTTGTGGATGTATTTATCAACATCATAAAATGTTTAAATTATCCACATGGTGGATGAATTGATCCACATATATCACCTTGAATATATTCTAAAATACCGAAGATTCAATCTCAATTTTACTTGATGATGGCTTAATCATCAATTTACCTTAAGCAACATGCAACACATGAAAGTTCATTAAATTGAAGAATCTTCCGGCTCTTCAATATATATCCATATGAATTTTTAATAATTTTTTGCATCATGAAAGACCCAAGATAGCACAATTGGTCATGTCGCATAGTAAAAGTATTTGAATTAGTAAACTTCTAGTTTACTATAATATATTTTGTTTTCAAGCATTCCAATGTTGGTAATAAAGAATAGATGAGAAAGCGAATAATTTCTTCAATACATGCTCTCGATCCGATATAATTATAATATTTAAGAATTCAATTTTTTTTTATATTTGTTGTCTTAATATAATGTCCATTTAGATAAATATATTTGAAACTTGAAAAATTTCTATGAGACTTTGAAGAGAATAGTACATCATTCATAAATTTATCCTTTCGGATAATAACATATTTGCTCTTCCGGAGCCTTTAAATTGTGTTACTTCAAGCAATAATATATCGACTCTTCTAGAGCCTTTAAACATTTTCTCTTCAAATGATAATTTATTCACTCTTCTAGAGCTTCAAAAATTTATCTCTTCAAGTCATGATATAATCGCTCTTCTAGAGCCTTCAAAATCTATCTATTTAGATAATAATATAGTTGCTCTTCTAGAGCCTTAAAAATTTATCTCTTCGAGTAATAATATAATCGCTCTTCCGGAGCTTTCTATTACATTGATATTATTATAGACAATATTAACATGAAATAAATAATCAAATAAATCAATACAAAATAAATAAATAAATATATTCCTCATAAACACAAATAAATAAATAAATAGTAAAATAAATTTGTAACCATCACTATACGATATAAATTATAAGAAATATAATAAAACATTTTATTTATAAATAGAAAAAAAATAACAAGTAATTAATTTCAATTACTATTGCTTTGATATATAAAAGTGACGTTCATATTTTACTCTTTATTTTTTAATAAGGCTTGACAATGCTCAATGAGGTGCTTTGGTGTACAACGGTACACAACCAATATTCATTCATTCCATATCTATAATATTTATTTTTCAGAATACCGACTTTCTCTATTTTTATTCCTTTTTTTCATAGTTATCCACTTCGGTGGTGAGATATAATATTATGGTCATTACAATTATAATGATAATTATTTCGACCATATCCATGACTATGACCACATCTCCATCCATATCCAAAATTATTATAAATTGTCACATTCACTTCGGGGAATGGAGTCGATCAAATTGGATGAGATTTATTCTTTTTCATTTTATTTAGCCACTAAAAAGTATATATATTTTTTCTCGATATGCTATTGCAAGAGCACATCCAAGATACAAAAAGTAGAGAATATTTTTTCAAAATTAAGCACTCATAATCAATAATTCTTATTCAAAATATCAAGAGTCACCAAATCAAGTTTATGAGGTTTGATATGATAAAAATTCTATAATACAATATATAATAATAATATTAGAAAATAATAACAAATATAATAATAAAATTAAAGCTTTTCCAATAACATATATTAGATCGTTAGTAGATCATTTATGTTTTTCAAATATATATTTCATGTATCAATAGATTTAAAGTACATGAATAAATTAGATACATACCTCTTAACGATCTAAATAATTTAGATCTTTTGGTAGAGCACTTATGTAGAAGAAATCTAATTGTTGAAACAATTGATTAAATATTTTGATAGATACATACCTCATGGTCTATTGTTTCGATTGGTTAGAGCTTCGTGCCGATAACGTGTTATAAAATAAATAGAAATGATAGGAGAATTAAAGAAAAGGATGACAAGAAAATGAAATTACTATAATGTGAATATGAGTGATAAAAACTTCAAAGTTTCTCTTATTCTCACTAGGAAACTTATACATCAACAAATGAATAATCAAGCCTATTTATAGGCCTCAAAATTGAGATGAGAATTGGAAGTGACTATGAATAATTAAAAGTACATCAATTGCATCACCCTTTCAATTTCTCATATTGAATGGTGAATTGAATCACATTAAGGATCATGGGTAGTGGGGATATGAAAAGTGGATGAACATGATGATGGACATTCGTTATTTCATAACACTCCCCATTGAATGTCCATCATCATGTTCATCCACTTTTCATATCCCCACTACCCATGATCCTTAATGTGATTCAATTCACCATTCAATATGAGAAATTGAAAGGGTGATGCAATCGATGTACATTCATATGGACATTCATTATTTTATAACACAACAACAATTTTTTTTTTTAAAAAAAGGCTGAAAGACATGGGCTCTAAAATTCTAAAGGTAGCTGGATCCGTTATGAGCCCAAATATGGCTTAGGCGCAACCCATTCTGTTATCGAAGGCATCTCCTTAAGAAATCTATTTAATTAGAACAAATCGCGCCAGTCTTACAACTCCTTTTAAGGTTTCACAGCTACGATGAAAAAGACGTACAAAAAATCACACTAATCCTCTGTTCTCTCTCCGAATTTGTTTAGGTGTTCGTTATTATTGCATTTCTTGTTTTTGGGTTTTGTTTGAATAGGAAAAAACAAATGGTTTCTGGGCTAATCAACGCCAATCCAGTAATTTATGAAAAGGAGGAGAGACGAGCTCGAAGTTCTCCGAGTGTTGGCTACGATAAGTACACTGCTGAGCCTATTGATCAACTCGAAGTTTTTGATATCCTTTTCACTTTCGTGTTTTTTTTTTTTTTATAAGTTCAATTTTGTTCCCTACCAATTCTGAAAGTTTCTTTTTAAATGTTTGTTTCCTGGGTTTTAATTATTCGTTGAAAAAAAAAATCAAAATAATTGGTTCTGGAAACAAAATTTTGGTGATAATTTTTCTGAGATGTGTTAGGATGTGCCTCGGCAGTATTAATAGGGTATTAAGAATTAAGCCCAAATGATGCTGTTATGTGTTTTTATGTTCATTAATTTGTGGCATTCGTTTCTGTGGGTGTGAAGTGAGTGTATTGCTAATTATTGTAGAAAGGATTGATGATTTCCATAATGTGAAGCAACCTTCTTAGCACTCTTAAATGATATTAGAGACATAAAGGATCCAGAGCATCCTTACTCTTTGGAAGAGCTTAAAGTGATAACGGAAGATGCGATTGAAGTAGATGACAATCACAGTAACGTCAGGTAACAATAGCAGTCATCTTAATTCTATTACAATATTTACTGATATTCTTATAACGCAGAAGTCAATGCCTTGCTTCAAGAATGGAAATGGGGTCTCAATGTTAAGCATCTAAGTTGCATTTTGGTTCATGCAAATTCAATTGCATTGCAATTGTATTACTCTGGAAATTATAGTTTAATCATTTGAACTACAATAAGAATTTAATTCCATTGTTCGGTTCCAACCTCCTGCCTATTCCAAACCTGTGTATAAAACTAACATCGTGAATTCTAGTGTCGAGTCCTAGTATTAATGCAGTATTGAAAGAGAGTCACTAGTATCCCAACGTAAAAATAGTCATAAAAGCTCAGGTGAGCCCTCTCTCACAAGAAATATATCAAAATCCAGGCTATTAACGGTACCCAAGTTTTGTTTGAGACAAAAAATCAAACACCTTCTGTTCAGTTTGGATAATGACAACTGACATTTAAAATAAATAATTCTAGCGCCTTTTGCGAACAATTTAAGGCTTCGTTACACTAATTTTGCGTCGAACAAAAAAAAAAAACTAAACAAGTTACCTGGTTTTTTTTTTTGTTTTTTTTCGTCCGTTTAGCTGCTGAGAAATTGCAGGAAATCGAGGGAAATCTCTTTTGAAATATGAATTTGTAATTTTATGGGAGCTGTTGTTTCTTCCGTAAGGCTTGAAGCCCATCAAAGCCATGGTGGTGGGGTCTGGTAGTCCCTGATCGAAATTGCAAGACGAGCCCAAAGACCTTAATGTTAGGTCGAAACTTACAGTTCCAATTGGGTAAATATAAACGATAAGATAGATAAAAAGATATTGTTAAATCCATTGTATGTTACGTTATTCTCACCAAAATTTTTTTGTTGTAAGTTAATAACGAACCTTTACGTCTGGTTACAAACTTTATGCAATAGTAATGTGTTGATAATTTATAATAAAAATTTTGATAGATATATAAAATATCTGATAAATTTATCAGTATCCATATAAAAATAATTTAAAATTAGATTAAGATTCAATCTAATCTGGTTTGAAGTAGATTATCATTTCCCGTGTAAATTTTGAATATATGTTTATAATGTGAAAAATAAAATTAATTATTATTTATGTTGAGCTTTCAAGAGATAAATAATTAAAATATTTAATAAATTTAACATAAGTGGGTTGATACATGATATTATTTTAAACACGATGACATATATATATATATATATATATATATATATATATATATATATATAATGCTCAAGTTGGTTGATTGTGCACTGGATAATTATTTTTTAATGCAAACAATATCTAAGGTCAAACAGGAACAGGAACTGGCTATGGTTGTGGATGATTGATCAAATCATGCTATGTAAGAAAGTTAAAAACCTATAGCCCTTTTCTCAGTTAGATTCCCAACCTATAATTTTAACCAATGGGGTCCTTAACGTGTCCAAGAATCCTTAAATCGGATCCTTCTGTTAACAAACATGCCTAAGCCATTTCTTAATTGGATCCCCAATCTGTAGATGATGCTAGTCATATTTTTGACAGAAGAATTAAATTGAGGAATTCTGGATTCATCAAGGACCCAATTGGTACAAAGTATAGACTGGAGATGCAAATGAGAAAAAAGAAGAAGAAGGTTATATTGGAGACTAATCTAAGGTTAACAAAAATAAATAAACTACATTGTAGATCTAACAATGGGTTGACTATTTTAATAAGCAAAGATAATTTGAAGTCCACAGTCCAAAAAAAGGACTTCAACAAATAGAAGTCTAATTTAACTTCGAACCTTCAGCTGAAATGCAAAAAAGGGTTGAAGTCAAGAAACCACTGCACAAAAAAATAATTGGGGGGCGAGTCCTTGGTCAACCTTAGCTGAATTCAATGTTAGAGGCGGCCGTTAAATTTATTCAGAAAAAGGGAGGAAAAAAAATCTATGCACGTTTTGGATATGAAAATACCTACTCAAGGGGCAAGTAAAACCTGTGTGCATTTTTGTTGTACCACGATAACATTATGTTTTTTTTTTTTTTTTTTAATAATAATAGTAATTCATCAATGTTTGGAAGTAATATTGAAAGCCAATAATTCAATTAACTTTATTAAATGAGAAAATCGAGGATGGACTTGATTGATGATGAAGTGATAGTTTGAGGTCATATTTCAATTCTTTTCCCCAATCAATCTATTATGTTTTGTACACAGTAGATGGTAGAGACACAGGGCAGGTGGCTCTGTTAAAAGGAATCATTGACGTTAAAACCAACGAACGAGCCAAACTGCCAAAGTGCGTGCGGGTTGTCGTCCTTGACAGTGGAAGTTGAATCTCCACATCTCCTTCCTTCCATTTCAGTTGCATCGCCTCTCACTCTCTCTTTCTCAATTCACAACATTACCAAATTTCAAAGACGCTAGCTTAGTTATGGCTGTGTAAGTTCAATTCTCCGTGCTTCAAATGTTATTTTCTATTTCGTCTCCTTTATTTCAATTACAGATTCTCTTTCGCAAAACCAAAAAAAAAAAAAAACCCGTGTTTTGAATTTCCTTTTACTACTGAAAGAGTTCGAATCCTCAGTGCTTAAACATTACTACTACTACTACTATGATAGAAGAAAACACCAAGTAGTAATGTCTGATTTCTCTTACCATTTTATTCTTTTCGTTTCTGGGTCAACCCGGTAAAGAGAGGCTCATTACTTTGTATAATTTAGTTTTAATGTGGTTGTTTGCTGTTTTTTTTTAAGTTATTCTTGATCTGGGGTTTTTGGTAGTGTTTGATGAGATTGGTGTTGTTGATGTTAACACAACAGAGTTGCTTCTGCTCCTGGTAAGGTTTTGATGACTGGCGGTTACCTCATATTGGAAAGACCTCATGCAGGGATTGTTTTAAGCACAAATGCACGTTTCTATGCCATTGTTAAACCTCTTTATGATGAGATCAAGCCTGATAGCTGGGCCTGGGTGAGTCTGATTCTTTTGATTCTTTTAATTCTTTTATCCTCTTTCAATTTTCTTTGGGTTGTGTTTGCGAGATTGTACTATTGAAGTCTCAGATTTTGATAATTGATGCGTAGTATTTAATTAATATATCTCTGCTTTTGTGAAAAGTAATGTGATCAAAGTGTTGGAGTGCTTTTTGAATATGTTTTTTGATGCATGTCAGGCTTGGACTGACGTTAAATTAGCATCTCCCCAACTCTCCAGAGAAAGCATGTATAAATTGTCACTGAAGAATTTAATGCTTCAATGTGTCTCTTCAAGGCAAGTTCTTTTGTGGGCTATCCTATGTTTTTGTTTTACTATCATTTGAAATCTCTGACTGTCCTTGTATTTCTGATCGATTCATTTCAACTGTACCTGCATCTATTTGATTATGCATACTCAGCACGAAACATGGTTAGAAGGTTATCTAGAAAGATGTCCCTCGGCAAGACAAGCCAAAGTGCATTTTTTAAGAAAATGTATGGTTAAATGGATTGTGTATTTCAGTGAATCGAGGAACCCTTTTGTGGAGCAAGCAGTACAATATGTCGTAGCAGCTGCACATGCTACATTTGACAAAGATAAGAAGGATGCCTTAAACAAGCTACTTTTGCAAGGTAATGTTTGATGCTTATGTTTTCTTTATCCTTTACACAACAATCAACCATTAGGACGTCAAGAATCTAATGTTTCTATTTGGCTAGTGATGCAGGTCTTGATATCACGATTTTAGGTTGCAATGACTTCTATTCGTACAGAAATCAGGTATTGACCTTGCTTTGCTTTTGCTAACTATTGTGCCATTCACATGGATCAAATTCTGGTAGAGCATATTTCTATTTTGCTCATATGCTCCTTCATAACTTTCAAAGCTCTTTTGTTTCATCTTCTCTTGTAACAGTTGCTCTTTGACCATGATACACCATAACTATCAATTAGATAGACATTCAATTTGGTTTTGCATTATAATACATACAGTTCACATTCCTTTACAGAAGCCAACAGTTTTTATTTCATAAAGAAATTGCAAAACAAAAAAAAAAAGAAAAAAAAAGAAGGAAAAGTAGAGGTACATGAGAACATTTAAGTGTTGATTCTTGAGAATGAGTTGCTCATCTAAAATAAAGGATGGCAGCTCAAATATTTCACTCGTTATTGTTTATTATAATCTTTTGTTAATGTGGTTACCCTTTTTCAAAGATTGAAGCACGTGGACTCCCTTTGACACCAGAAGCATTGGCAGCTCTACCTCCTTTCTCGTCAATTACCTTTAATGCAGAAGAAGAAAATGGACAAAATTGCAAGCCTGAAGTTGCGAAAACTGGATTGGGTTCATCTGCAGCAATGACCACTGCTGTGGTTGCTGCTTTGCTTCATTACCTTGGAGTGGTTGATCTTTCATCCTTGTCTAAAGATGAGGGATCTGTAGATCTTGATATGGTGCATATAATTGCTCAAACTGCTCACTGCATTGCACAAGGGAAAGTTGGAAGTGGTTTTGATGTCAGCTCTGCAGTCTATGGCAGTCACCGCTATGTCCGCTTTTCACCAGATGTTCTTTCTTCTGCTCAGGTCCCTCTCTCTCTTCCACCACACCCCCCACCCCCCCCCCCCTCTGTCTTTGCTTCTGATGATTGGTTTCATGATGTCAATTGAGAGATTACACCATGATTGCATGATCATTCTCTCATTGAAGTTGAAACTCCAATAAAGAGATTAAAATTCTATGATTAAGTTGAAAGGCCACTGGTAGAGGTGAATACTGGTTGATTTGCTGTTTACTTTATATAATATGCATTTACTGTGAATCCCATCTTCGGTTTGAGGGTTGTATGGCTTCTTAAGGAATTGATGTGTAATGTCATTGCCTAAAGTAAGCAAAGGCCCTTCATCTAGCACCCTCCCTTTTCTGTATTCATGCATATCCATATCACCATGAAGGTGTGGAGTTTTTATGATATCTGTATCAAAAACTGGTAAGTACGTGAATAATTTAGATGCCATGCAGACTTGACTTGATAAAAAACTTTTCAGTAATCAAGTATAGCTGTTTTCTGCATAATTTTACTTTCTGTTGTCTTCCTAAATTTTCTTGAATTTGGTCTATATGATCCCTACACTTTGGTTTCCAAACTTCTATTGGTGAAAATAATAACAAAACCTTGGTTTAAAAAAAAAAAAAAAATTCCTCATTTTGCACTATATTTTAGCACAAATAATTTCTTGTGTCTTTCTTGAGGCAAGGTTAGAGGTGTTTGAATAAATGACAAAGTTTAAGGTTCTCAGAGGGTTATTTGGAAGTAGCAGACTTATTTGGGTTGTAATAATTTAACTGTGGCTGCAAGTGTCTCACCATTATGTAGATCTTTGCCAATTTTTGGATAAATAAAATTAATAAACATGCATTTCTATTTATGTGGCTATTTTTTGTTCCTGAAAACTGTATCCCTTGAACTTGCAGAACAATTGTATGCAAAATCAAGAGTATTTCTTATGCAACTTTCACTAGAGTTCATTTTCCTTAAAACTCAATGTAAAATGTTGCAGAATGCATCGGAAGGAAAGCCATTACAGGAAGTCATGACTACCATCCTAAAAGGAAACTGGGACCATGAGAGGACCAAGTTTTCTTTGCCCCCATTGATGAACCTTGTGAGCATCTCGACATTTACCATTTATGCTTCCTTATATGTGTATGAATTTGTGGTTATGCTTTTCTTGGCAAACATGTGACTGTCCTATCATACGTTTATATAGATATGATGGGGAAACCCTATTTCAAATCTAGTTTTAAGAGTCTACCAAAAAAAAAAAAAAACTCATTAAATATCACTTTTCAGAAACATGCCTACTTCTTTCCGCTTTTGAACATTTTTTATATACTCTCACATTGTTGCTTGGTATAATGAATTTGTCCTCTCGCCATACTTTATTACTGATATTGATAAGAAGCTTGTGCTTTTTGATTGATTACACAATAGATGTGAAGATTCTACGAGAACCGTAATGATCAAAGGCATGTATTAACAAACAAAGGGAGGCAATTAAAAGAAACTTTGGTTTTTTATTTCAACAAATTTAGGATGGAAAAAGGACAATTTTAGGCACAGTTTCTTTTTCCTTTTCAAACAACAATTTTGTGGTTTGTTTAAGATTTTCACTTTTTGCGAAGGCCTTGATTGCTGATTGCTGATGATAGTTTTGATGCTTTCCTAAGTTGTTAGGAGAACCAGGAACTGGAGGATCATCTACGCCATCAATGGTAGGTGCTGTGAAAAGGTGGCAGAAATCTGACCCTGCGAAGGCCCAAGAAACATGGAAAAAGTTGTCAGAGGCAAATTCAGCACTTGAACTTCAACTCAATATTTTAAGCAAGCTTGCAGAAGAAAATTGGAATGCATATGAATGTGTGATTGACAATTGCAGCAAGCAAAGGTCAGAGAAGGTATTTATGGGACTTGTTTTTGTCATATCTAAAAAGAAAGCACCAATTAATTGATTGTCTGACAGTTTATATGAATCTATGAAAATTGATTTTGTCTGGAATCAGGAGTTATCCTTGTAGATTGTGTTATTTGTGAAATAGAAGTGAGTGAAATTTCATGATTTTTTTTTGTTTTTATTTGATTTTTATCATTCATGTAGAGGTCACTTTCCTCGTGGAAGGTCACCTACTGCTGTTATCCTCCAGTCATGCTGTAGGAATTCTATGAAAGACAGGTACTGGAAATCAACGGTTTTCTTATGTACTGAAACCTGCCTTTCTTAATTTTCTGCTGATAAATATTCATATTCAATTCTATAAAGCCTTAATATGTCACTGTCACATTGCGAACACCTTAATCATGAATAAACAGAACAAGAAATCTGGTTTCCAGGCTTTGATTTTGGTGTTAGAGGGGTGGTTGCTTTGGGCAGTGATTTATCGTATATTTGAATCTTACTTGTCAATAAACAAAGGGATAAATATAGAGCGGGAGTCTGATTTTTTGGGGGTTGACTATAAAGGTACTAGTCTTCTACTCTTTATCCTCATTTCAGGGTTGTTGAAGTCTAGGTGAAGTGACTTCTGCTGGACAATAATTTAATATTTGGTAATCAGTAGGTGCTGTTATTTTTTATTATCACAGTTGACATGTCATTATATACTTCTCTGTGGGTGTTGCTCTGCACTTTCCTGTTGATCTGAGCCTATTCCACATTCTCCCTCGAAGATCATTAGTATCTTTGACTAAATAGTACAAGGAGACTAATTAACAATGCACAATTGTGGGGTTCATTCAGCTTTCTATGAAATGAGTTTAACTATTCCAAAGAAATATGTTGTATCTAAAACATGACTTTTCTAATAACAGAAAACTGCGCTGACAAATGGAGACATGAATAAAGCAGTTATATGCTTGTTTTGTATTATGCCTAGCTACATTAGTTTCATATTGTTTGTGGAGACCCATGTGCAAGCTGCCAATTACTTCATTTATGCCGTCAAATATTTTTATCCTGTTTTATTTGACCTTAACTGTTTTTTGGTGCTGCTTCTGTACCTTTTGACATTCCTTTTATCCTCCTAGTGTTGATATTGATTTAATGTCATGAATTGCCTGAACAGTGGATAGAGCAAGCCACTGAACCAAGCCATGAAGCAGTTGTCAAAGCATTATTAGGAGCAAGAAGTGCCATGGTCGAGATCAGAAATCATATGCGCCAGATGGGTGAGGCTGCAGGTGTCCCGGTAGGTTTGTTTCTCTTAATTTGAGGCCTGTGTCTTTTCCCAATTTATAACTTTCCTTATTTCCGAGTGAAATGTTTATGGATATGACCAAAAGGAAAGAACTAGGACAATAATTTTCTTATTATATAAACATCTATGTTTTTGAGTAGCGTGTCTTACATTTAACCAACTAGCTATAGTAAGTAGTAACTTAACTCATGTACTCATGTTACTAGCAACTGAACTGCCAATATATTCTTCTCCTTTGGCCACTCACCTGAAAGCTACATTGACCCCCTGCTATGCCATGTGATGGTTTGAGTTTTAGATGGCTTTTGCATGTATCATCCTGATGTTTGAAGGCAAAATGATAATAGTATAATCATTCTTTTGTCTTATCAACTTCATACCCAAATATACTTGCCAACTCATCCACTTTTTTTCCTAGAGAGGGTCTCTTGGGTTAGCTGTTCATTATCCAGTCGCCGCACTGGATGCCTTGTGCCAGTGTCCTTTTGTTTTTGGTATTGTTATTCTAGGTAGTGCATACACTTGCAATTCTTTAACTGAATAGGAGGGGGCACATTTTTGGGCCCTGATAAATGAGGATATTTTGCAGTTGCAGAATGTTTGTTGGAGATAGCTATTTATGAGCATTAAATAGAATGTATATGATGGAAGAAATGCCTTTGTAAGGTCCTATATGGTATAAGTGAGAGTGAAATTTTAAATCAAGTGCATAGACAACTTGCTTTGTTACCAGATAAATCTGTCCTCAAAGTCTCTGTGCAATTTCTGGCTGAGAATTCTTTTTCCTTCTGTTTTTTTTCCTTCTTCTTCTTGCAGTGTAGGCATACATTAATAAACAGCAACTTCATAAATCTGTTGTGAAATGCAAATTGAACATGTTGCGCTGGGTTCTCATCTTGCTTCTCTAATAGACCCAAATATTAATTTAATTAGATTCTTTATATTTTACCTTTGTTCGTATGTTCAATAATCTCTTTTAAACTTTCCAAATTTGCAGATAGAGCCTGAATCACAGACTCAACTTTTGGATGCTACTATGGGTATGGAAGGAGTTTTGTTGGCTGGAGTTCCCGGAGCAGGTGGGTTCGATGCAGTCTTTGCTGTTACCTTAGGCGACTCTAGCAGCAATGTTGCCAAAGCTTGGAGTTCGGTCAATGTTCTGGCCTTGTTGGTCAGAGAAGACCCTCATGGTGCTTCTCTAGAAACTGGAGATCCAAGAACCAAGGAAATCACATCGGTTGTTTCTGCAGTTCATATTGAGTGAGCTATATTCATGATAAGCTAGGTCTATCATCTTAATGGTGGCAAATTTGATTTAGAAAGATTTGTATTAGATTTTGTGTACTGGTTAAGTCTGAGAAGGGTTAAAAATGAAAGAAAGAAAACCCTGAACTGAACAGCATCAACTATCAGAGTTTCCTCATTGAAAGAGAAGAAAAAAGAAGGGTATCCCCTGCTATGCCTTCCTTCAATAATATACAATAAAGCAGCATCTGTTTTCTCGGATTTTATTTGTCTACTTACTGATATAGAAAGATTTTATTTGGTTATTGAACTTTTGAAAACAAAAACTCTGAGGTAGTTCTGTTCGTAAAAATTTCTTTTCGCGGCTTTCCTTGAATTCAGCAAATCTGCTGACCACCAAGCCAAGGCTCAAGGATCTGCCGCTAGACAATTAAGCTTTGTATATCATACACCATAAAATAGGGTAAAAACCGTTTGAAGATAGCTGAAAAAAATAGAAATATCCTATTGAATAAGATGGACTTGGATCAGAAAGATTTATGATTTACCAATAATTTTCACAAGAGCATCTTCCATCTTTAAAATGGTGAAACCGATTTCGATCTCTTACAGTAATTTCTCTTTGATAAATGATTGAAATTAACTTGGTGTACGTGTGACAGTCATTACACATCCTGAGGTTTCTAGCTATTCTAATGGGAGTACCCTGAGATGTATGTATAAGTGCAAAAGCCATAGCTAACTTTTGACTATGAGCTTTCAATCTCTGCCTCTTCTCTTCTTCATCTACATCAAACAATACTTGTGATGTATCTGGAGAATAGCCTTCGAATTTCAACTGCCATTCCATCTGGTGAATCATCTCATATGTGCCTTCGCATTGAGGGTGTGACATGTCCTGTGAAACAAACTTGTAAATTTTCCTCTCCACCTCCACTAAACTGAATCCAGGCGTCTGAGTCAAACCCTTTCGAATCATTTCTGTCCGAATCTTAGCTACATCCTCCCACCTTTGAGCTCTTGCATACATATTTGATAACAACACGTAATCACCAGGATTACTTGAGTTCAATTCTCCCAAGCTCTTAGCTGCAATCTCCCCAATTTTCAGGTTTTGATGGACTCTACAGGCACTAAGTAGGCTTCGCCAAACAACATCATTTGGCTGGATAGGCATGCTCCTGATGAGCTCTAAAGCCTCATTTAGCATCCCAGCTCTGCCCATGAGGTCAACCATACAGCCATAGTGTTGAATTGTGGGTTCAATCCCATGCTCAAGTTTCATTCTGTTGAAACACCGCTGGCCCTCATCAACAAGGCCAGCGTGAGTACAAGCACTCAACACCCCCAAACAAACAACATCATCAGGCTCCAATCCTTCTTCAAGCATATCAGAAAAAACCTGCAGAGCTTCCCTACCGCGGCCATGCATTGCAAGCCCTGTGATCATTACACTGTAGGACAATTGGTTCTTCTTTACCATTCTTTGGAAGAGAGATAAACCTTTCTCTATAAGCCCACATTTCACATACATGTCTATTAAGGAAGTTTGTACTGTTACGTTCATCTCCCTGATGTTCCTTAACAACGATACGTGTGTGCACCTCCCCAAATCAAGAGCACCTAAATGGGTACAGGCAGAGAGCACACTAACTAGGATGCTCTCTTCTGGCCTACAAGATCCCTCCCTACTCATCTCCCCAAAAACTGATAAGCAGTCGGACCACATGCCCGAACTGGCATGAGCTGCTACGATGGCACTCCAAGAAGCAACATCTCTCCGATCCATTTGCTCAAAAACAGAACATGAAAGTTCTATCTTCCCACACTTGCCATACATATTGATCAAGCTATTTTGCACAAACAAATCTCCTTCAAGTCCAAGCTTAAAGATATGCCCATGAATTTGCATCCCTTCCTCTATTGACCTTAACCTGGCACATGCCTTGAGAAGTGCAGGAGATGTAAAATTATCTGATTCAATTCCTCTCTCAAGCATCTCACAATAAAGAAACAAAGCATTTTGCAGATTCATAACATTTACATATCCTCTAATCATGGTATTGAATTCAAAAGTACCCGGTTGATCGATTTGTCGAAAAATTGAGCGTGCATAATCCATGCTGCCCCAGTCTGATAGAGCACAAGTTGCCACAAGATTGCTTGCACAAAAGGAGTTCCAAAAGAATCCGCACTTTAGGACTTGAGCATGTGCTTGCTTGAATTCTTCCATGTTCTTGCATCTCTTCAGAAGACTTATACATTCTTGCTCTTTTAACCTCAAACTCGATCCTTTGCATTGTGGAGGAATTTCTGGTAGTGACAGAAAATGGATTTGCTGAAGGACTGGCGTCCCAATCATCCTGTCATGCGCACCATGGTGTAGCAATCAAGATTGTTATAGTTCTGTAAAGCAGACTTAAGGATGAAGTAACAAGAAAAATATCTTGCACTAACCATCAAGTTAGCGTTTTTAATATGGAGAAAAGATGGATGATTTACAGTGCAAACCAAGAAGTGGGTGAGGAGGAGGTGGAGGAAAGAAACATGAAAAGGGTATGAGAATTAAGTTTCAGGTTCTTAGATTCTTGAGGCCGGAAATAGTTACAGTTGTAGAGATGTTGAACTTGAGCCATGAGATTTGAAGAGGGAATTCCAGCCAGAAAAATGGTTTCAGATTATGGGACATGTAGATTCTGGATAGGATAATGTCTGGAAGTGGTTGGGTCTATTAGATTGCTCCTCTTGGCTTACCTGCATAAGGACCCTTTATATCTCCCAAGTCAGCATTGTGGACCCATTTCGCTTTTGGTGATTTCTTCTTCTTCTTCTTCTTCTTCTTTTCCAAGATAAATAATATTTTTGAATTAACTTTCACATAATTAAAATTAAAATTTCAATTTACGACACATCTTCTGCATCGCCTTAGAGTGAATAAAAAAATAAATTATTTTAAAAATTCAAACTCATAAAAATAAAAATACACTTTATAAGTTATAACTATCAAATAAAAAATTTTCAGTTTATTTTCTTCACTAATATTGTAAGTTATGATCATTTTATACAACATATAATTAAATAAACTATGTGTTTTCTAAGATAGTAAAACTTTTTTTAAAATAAAAAAATACAAAATTATTAAAAAATACCTCAATAATTAAAAAATCTTAAAATTGTTATTTATCAAGAGGCGTAGCTAAAAATATAATAATCGGTGCTTAAAGATATTAAGAAAGCCAATTCTTAAACACAATTACCAACTTTAATTTGTAGACTTTACTAGCTTGTGACCCACACTATGCAATGGGTTGTACAGAACAAATATAACTATTTAAAGAAAAAAAAACAACATTCGTTTATTGAAGAAAATAACGAAAAATATTTTAATGTGTATAACATATGGAAATGCAGTAACATATTAAAAAAAAAAAATCTTTTGTAATAGTTGTGATATCATTTGCTCCAACACATTTAAAACCTGTTTTAAAGTCATTCAAGTTTGTGTTAAATTGGTGAAAGTAACCATTGTTGTTGTAATAAAACTAATACCTATAAGTTATTTGTTGTTGTACGGAAGTAGAGTTCATCGTAATTCAAAGTGTAAGGACTATACAAATATTTTTATAGAATTAAGCTTAGATTTTCAAATTCAAATCACTATTTAAAAATTAAAACTAACAAATATAAGTGCATTCTAAGTATAAGTGGCAGAATCAACAGTTGCGAAGGAAGGGAAGGTTGGTTGTAGGGAGAGAAGCAGACTTGCATACGGAAATAATATCATATTTCGATGATTTAGCTATAGGAGGGCATTCTGGAATTACAATAACTATAAAGAGATTGTCACCATGGTTTTATTGGAAAGGTCTCAATCGAGAAGTGAGGGAGTTTGTGAGAAATTACCCAATATGTCGACAGTGCAAGTATGAGAATGTGGCTAATCCAAGTCTGCTAAATCCATTACCATCACCTCAAGCTATCTTTACAGATATTACAATGGATTTTATTGAAGGATTGCCATTATCAAGGGAAATCAGTTATCTTTGTTATGGTGGATCGTTTGATAAACTATGCTCGTTTCATGCCACTGGCTCATCCCTTTTTTGCTAGTGTGTTAGCCAAGATTTTCATCGAGAATGTTTAAAAATTGTATGGGTTACTTTAGAACATTATTTCAGAGAGATATTCCATTTTTCTCAGTAGGTTTTAAAAAGAGTTGTTTACGTATCAAGGAGTTTCACTCAAGTTTTCCATTGCTTACCACCTCCAAACAGATGGACAAACAAAGGTAGTAAATAGATGCTTGCAAACTTATCTCAAGATAAGGAGGTTGTGATTATGTTACTCAAAGGCAATTTATCTAAAGCTCAGGCACGTATGAAGAGGCAAGCCGATAAAGAAAGATCTGAGAGGGTTTTTTAGATAGGGGATTGGGTATATCTTAAGCTTCAAGCTTATAGACAACAGACTATAGTGCGGAGGAAGAATCATAAATTGTCCCCCAGATATTACGGACCTTATAAAATCATTAATAAGGTTGATGAGGTTCCATACACTCTTCAGCTTCCTCCTGGTTCTTTAATTCATCCTACCTTTCATGTTTCGCAACTCAAGCCTTCCCGTAGTAGACTCATAGTATAGGAGGAGCTACCTGGAGCATTAAGGTTAACTGCAACTCTAGTAGCCATCTTGGATAGGAAAATGGTGAAACGAGAAAATCAAGCTGCAACCAAACGTTTTATCCAATGGTCGACTGGGACACCTAGTAATGCTACATGGGAGTTTGCATTTGATATGGCTACCAAATTTCCTTCTTTTAACCTTGAGGACAAGGTTGTTTAAGTGGAGGAATATTGTTAATGATCGAATTGCTCGTGCAATATTTGGTTAGGAAGCAATCAAAGATAGGCAGAGTAGCTTATGTGGAAGGGTTTCATGCAAGACCAACAGATAGCTGGCGTTGCAGATTAGGTGGCAATTCTATTACAGGTCATGAGCAGAGGTGGAAAAGGTTGGAGTTATAAAGAGTGGTTATGTTGTTAGGAATTATTTATAAGGCAGTTAGAGAGTTGGTTAGCCTAGAGATATTCGGTTATAAATGGAGGGAAAACTCATTTGTATAGATTATGTGAATTTGGATGTTCTCTCTCCTTTTGGATTTCTCTCTATAATTTCCTCTTCTGGAGCTCTCTTTCTGCTACTTGTTCTTGTATTCTGGTAACAATTTCCATTCTTATCAACATTGAAGTCTTGATTTGTTCATTGTGCTTGTATCTGAACAATTAGATTTCATTCAATAAAACATAATTCATTTCATTTCTGCATTATTCTTTTGATTTCTTGCTTCTGGAATCTTGGAATTGTATCAAATTGCCTTTGATTTTCTGTTAACCATCGATTCATCAATTGTTTCTTAATTCAACCCAAAGATCATTGATTATTCAATAGTCCGAATCCTAATTTATGAAAATGCCTAGTTCTGAATCTCTCCAAGTCCCTTCACCTTAGGAACCAATGGATGATGGGTTCGTATATGAGTTCGAACCCATTGATTCTGGCAGCGACCTCGAAGAAGATGGTGCTTTCTATTCTTTGTTTTAGTTATGAATTTCCTTTGTATTTTTTAGTCATAAATTGAATTAATCCCTTATTGTTACTTAACTGATTTTGTGATCTTAAGGTTAATGCTTCTTTTAGCACACATAGCTTTAGCTTAATTCATATGCTCGTTTTTAAAATACTAATAATAATGTGATAATGGAATTTATATGTTCCAAATAGAAAAGGAAGTTACTTGTAGAATCATGTCACAGTATATGGGATAAAAAATAAAAAAATAAAACAACCTCAAAATTTCCTTCTTTTTTTTTTTTTTTCCTAGTGTCGACATTAGAGTTCTAGCCTTTAGCTTGTTTGCCATCATTTTTCTTTGAAGTATTTGGAATGCTGATAGTTTTGGTTATTTTCGTACTATGTTTTATTATTATTATTTTTTTGGTTAATAAATTTATAGGGATATAAGTTGTTGTTTCTTTTAATTTTCCTTTTAGTAGGTTTGTTTGATTTTACAGAAAAGTGAAGTTTTGTTTTTATGATCTTCCTGAATAATTTGTTTCATATTCTTGTTAGAGTGTTGTTTTTGTTTATTTAATTTCTTTTTTCTTTTCGAAAGATTGGTGAATTCTCCAATGAGCTTTACAGTTTCTTTGTGAGGCACTTAACGGTGAGTTGGTGAGAGGCACTTCTCAATTGCTGATTTTGCTAAATATTAGGGACTCAGTAATGGTACAGATTAATTATGACAATACTGTGGATATTATTGAAGTGAGAAATAGATTAATAACGTTGTTCATTTTCCAACTTCTTGTTAGATTTTCGCCTTTGTTTTTTATGATTTCTTGATTGTTTTGTGCACAAGAAGAAATTAAGTTAGTCTAAAAGCTTTTAACACGATAAAGAATCAGCTTCTCGGTTTTTTAAGGATCCATCTGTAAAACACAACAAATACTGTCTCATATAAAAATTCTGATTGATTTGTTATAGTCATTGCAGCTAGATAGATGCAAGGGAAAGAGACTTTCTTTTGTACCTGTTCATGGAGTAACATATGCTATTTGTTATATATAGTGATTTTTCTTTTTTCTTTTGATAGGTTGGTTCTCGTTATATATAGTGATTCACTTTTAGTTTGCGATGGTACCTTTTTCCTTTCCCTTCTCAAGGAAATGTTAGCAGTAGCTGGTTGCTTCAATGATCGTGCCAAGAAATTACTTGAGCTGCACCTGGCTTCTAGCTTTCGAAAATACTTCATGTGGTTCAAAGGCAAGTGGCAAAAAGACCATATTGCCTTGGTTCAAGAAGGCAAGGATCTGGTTACCTATGCATTAATCAACACTATTGTAGCTATGGTTATATCAAAATAAGATTAATGAACATATCAATATAGAGTCTGATAAAGTGGGATGTGAAACATTCTCATGTTTTGGGTTATCAATGCAAGCTCCAGATTTCTGCTCTCTATGGTTACAGATCCATTACTACAAGCAAGGACAGGCCTCAAGTCAAAAGTCAAAGTACGTATATTGAGATCCTTCAGTCCCCATGGCTTCGTGATCAGCTTATGGCTTTTCACATCAATTTAAGAGAGGCAAAGGTCAAGTCAAGCAAGGCTCCTGCATTGTTCAAGGGGTGCTCACTAACTTTTGATGATGACAAACCATCACTCTCTTGTGAGCTTTTTGACTCCATCAAGGTTGATATTGATTTGACCTATTTTATATGCCCGGTAAGTTCCTAGATTTCTTTTTGCTACATAATATCTAGTAATTAGATGCTTAAAATTGGATGTCTCTCCTAGATTTTTAATGAAGAGAATGAAATAAATTTCACAACTCGATTCAAAGTTCTAAAATTCTAATATACAATGACTACAGCAAAAGCTAGTTGAAGTTTTTGACTTTTTTGGAAAAAAAATCATTTGTTCACGAGATACCTTATGGATTGATAAATACTAACTGCTCCAGCTCTTTTTTCTAGTTCCATGTATCACTCAGAACCAGCTAGATCATAAACCAATCTTACTTTTAACCTTATAACGAATTTATGGTGAATTAGAAGACGACCAATTTAAACCCAACCTTTTACAATGGATTTGGCATCTACTATCCTCAAAAGTAAATGAAAAATTATTGTCTAATTGCTTTTCCTTTCATAATTTACTATCTTCAGTGCTTATGTTGTTATATTCATACGTACTTGTATTAAGTTAGCATTTGAAGAGTGGAAAATATGCACACTGACTTTGTCATCATCATGGTGATTTGATGATCGATAACTGATTTAGATTTTTTGATATCTCTATTGGTAACAAGATACAGTATTCGATCCAGTTTCTCTAACACATGGCCACATCTTCTGCTTGTTCTGTAGCGTCAGTGACCATGGTTAATGGGCTAAAGGTAGTAGAGCCTAAAGAAAAATGCCCTTTATGTCGAAAGGTTTGTTAACATTATTTTATAATCATTCCTCACTCTTTATTATTTCCTGTGAAGCATTATGCCGTTAGTCATGGCTGCATTTTTGCTTTCAGAAGATTTTAAATGATCCTTTTGAAATTAGGAATTAGACTAAGAAAATGAAAACTGATGCTAGAAGACAGGCTCCTGAAGGTTGGCCTTATTTAATTCCTACCATTTTTTCAATTCACCTCCTATTTCTTATCAGTTGAATTCCCATTTCAGTTCTTGCTTTTGTCACTGACATTGTATTATATTGTAGACGAAAACCCAGGTTATCCATTCTAGTTGAACTATTTTCTCCCCTAGTTTCTTTAATTGGCATTATGCACTATATTCTTGACGAGAGGGATTTTTTTGCCTCCATTTTCAATATAAAGTACATTGTAGAAGTTGGTCTAGTCCTCCATTTATAAATTATAGAAGCTAGATGGCATCATATTTGGGCTATGTAGGAAGACCGATATCTTTAATCGAATGTTGGAATTCGATGAGAACCGTGAAAGTATCGAATGCATGTTGCAGTTAACTACGATCATAATCTGCTACTTTGATTTCCTTTTTCATTACACTGTCTCGTATTTTCCTTTTTCCTTTTTTGATTAAACACTGCATCTACATTTTCCAACTTTCATTATCAAAGGCTGGAGTTTATGAAGGTTCCCTACACTTGGAAAAGCTTAATATTTTATTAAGCAGAAGGTATCATTTTCCCTTCACGACATATCATTTTGATTATACTGTAGCTGTAACTTTAAGATCCCGTCATCTGATGTACTTCCTCACTGAGGAGGATGAGGACACAGGAAACAGAAATGGAAGAAAACGAGAGGGACATGGTTTCTGTGTTTCTCAACTTTTTATATCTATTACTGATTTCTTGCTTTCATTGCCATGTCGAAACAGTTGCCATGAGTATTGGGAGCAGCGACTTCAAATAGAAAGGATAGAGAGGATTCGGCAGGCAAAGAAGCACTAGGAATCTCAGCGTCGGGCATTCATGGGTGCCTAGTTAGCCATTTCTTCTCTTTGTTGTCATTAGATTTAGGCCTAGATAACATGCTGTAATTTTTTCCCATTTCCAAAATGTTCTTGTGTTGATTTTTGTTGTCCTTTTAGCCAGGATTATATCTGTGTTGATTGACTTCTTAGCAAAAGTTTACTTTCAAGTTATTGACAAGCTTATTTTGCTCTCTTAGTCGAATTGGAACATTACTACATTGCATATATTGATTTAGACCCTAAAATAGTATGAAAATAGATTATTGTTGTAGTAGATGGCAGAGAACATGCCTCTCTCATTTTTTTCTTCCCACTTTTTTAATGAAATAATGGAGCAGTATATATGATTCTCCTTATTAATGAGAGTGAATTAAGCTTCCAACAACGGCAACAGTATGGCAACCCCATATTGTGGTTGCAAATAATTTACAGCATTACATAATTATCACTTGAGGCTTAGGTGAATGAGCCCCTATAATTTTGCGAGTCTTGTAGTTAGGCCCACCATGAAGAAACCGATTTGTAAAAGGAATTGAACTCACATTCAGCCAAGGACCAAACACCATTCCTCATAAGTCACAGCTCACAAGTCTAGCAATGAGCAATTATGAACACTTTTTTTGCCAATAGAAGCTGTACAGCTACCGTAGAGCACATTTTAAGGCATCGTATGGTGTTATGCTTTGGATGTTTTAACGTCTTCAAACTGGAAAAGCATTAAATTGATATGTTTTCAACTATTGTTTTTTGGTTTTAATATGGGATATAAGGATATAAAAAAGACACCTTAAAAGACATGATTTTGTGCTTTTTCAAGGTAAAAAAAAAAAAAAAAAAACAGTTTAAAAAAGACACTTCCAACCTCATTACAAACACACTAAACATTTCTTAACTAAATCTTTCTAGGCAAATTATTTTATACATTTATTAGAATACTGATGCGATGCTGCACATGCAAGACAAGGCCAGTAAGATAAAAGGAAGTCATATATTCTATTCACCAAATTTTACAAAGACGGTTGCAATCCAACCAATTCAGTTATCTTTATGAATGAATACTTATGTGTCACTCCATTTACTTGTGTCCCATTATTTCCTATCAGACGAACCCACTTCATTCTATACCAAACATACATCAAGGATGGCTGACATTTAATCTGGTATTCTTCTAGGGTTGGTTTTGGCTTTGTTTTGCACTAATTTTTCCTTTTAGATTTAGAAGAAACGCTGATGAACCCACACTCCAACCACCTTTAATCCAAAAATAACAAATATTCTTAAATATTTAGTAGTTTCAGGAGCAAAAGATACAAACACCAGATAATTTCTGGACAAAACTTGGTTTGATTACCCATATAATAATCAGGACAACAAACATTAAAAATAATAATAGATGAGATCTTACTTCAATGATCCTGAGTACTTCTTATCAAGGGATTTTTCTCGTTATGCATATGATATCTTTTGCATAATTTCTCAAGAGTTGCAACTGAATGCTGCATGGCGTTTAGTTTTATGTCCATAAACATACCCTGCAAACGAATGAAGTCCAAGTGAATCATACTACCACCACAAACATTATACAAATCCAAAAATAAGAATTGGCAACCAACCCTGTAGTCATGTCCATAGTTCTCAACAAGTTGATCGATATGAACACGCTGCATTTTGGTCAGTGGTCGTAGAGGTGCATGTTCCCCTTCTCTACGCTTCTTCCCAAGAGCAGATTTCAAATCTACACAACCGAAGTATTAACATCTCACATTAAGGACAAATTCATCCCAAATTTTAGCTTTGAACTTCCTAACTTCCACATCATCCTTGAACTAACTGGAAAGTTCCATAAAGAACATACACACGAGTAACATACCCTTACTTCACAGTATTCTTAGCTTTTCTGTAGTCAATTACAATGATAAGTACACCAAGAAATCCATAATTTCTAATAGCATATGAAACATATTCTAAAAAAAAAAAAAAACGCAGTACGAAAATTACCAAAACTATTAGCATTCCAAATACTTCAAAGAAAAATGATGGCAAACAAGCTAAAGGCTAGAACTCTAACATCGGCACTAGAAAAACAAGGAAAATTTGACGTTTTTTATCCCATATACTATGATATGATTGTACGAGTAACCTCCTTTTCTACTCAAAACACATAAATTTCATTATCACATCATTATTATTTAATAAATAGCATATGGATTAAACTAAAGTTGTGTGTGCTAAAAGAAAAGCATTAAACTCAAGATCAGAAAATCAATTAAGCAATAATAAGGGATTAATTCAATTTATGACTCAAGAAGAAAAGAAAATTCATAGCCGACACTACAAAAGAGGGACAATTAGCGACGAAATATTCCATCGCTAATTGCTCCAAAAATCATCGCTAAGAGCACTTAACGATGAAATAGCGACAGATAACATATCCGTCACTATTTAGCTTGTTGCTAATTTTTAACGATAGCCAAATCCATTCCGTCGCTAGTTTAGCGACGAAATTTCCATCGTTAATTTGTGGTTGTTTTCATCATAGAACTCGTCGTGGTTTTTGTCTCTAATCCATCGCTAATTCCGTCATCGAATAAAGATCGAAAAACTATCATTAATATTTGTAGCTATCCGAAGTGTAGCTTTTCCGTCGCTATTCCATCGCTAAAATGGAAAGTGAAATTTGTTGCTAATTTATCGCTATTTTTTTTTAAAGTAAATATTTTTTTACATTTTATTTTATTTTTCATTTTTAATTATTAATATTGTATTTAATGATTAATATTATATATAATAGTTAACAATTAAAAGTAATAATGTATAAATTAAAAATAAATAAATATTAACAATTACATTTGACTAGTACGTTCGGTAAAATAAAACAAAGTCACTAAATATTTGTTCTATCACTCATCCTCTTCGTCTAAACCCATATCCTCCTCCCGGTAACATGTGGAGGGCTCGGCTAGAAGATCGGACGAGAGGTTGAACAAGAGGTCGTATGGAAGGAATGGTGTAGTATTGATGGGTCGACGGATCTACCGGAACCCCGGATGTCCGTGCCAACCTCATCACTAAGGATGTCATCATGTCGTACCGAGATTTTAGACTATGTATAGTTGATTGCTACTCCGAGACTAGGTTTTGGATCTCGTGTTGTTTGACTCGCATCCCTTGCATTGCTTCCTTCATAGCCTCGTAGTCCCTCTAAAGGTCGTCGTTAGTCGAGTCGATGGCGTAATGTGACGTCACGGATAAGAAGCTACCGCCACATAACCGTGATAAGTAATGCATTAACCGTGTGCCTATACCATAATACCTTTTCTTCTTCGCCTAAACGGTTTCGAGGTATATGGTATTCTCATCAACTTTTAGCTTTGTGATTCATACCGCCTTCTAAGCCGCAATCGCCTTCTAGATGAAGTCGTTTTATGTGGTCCTGCGTAATCAAAATAATGATATCATCATCATTGGATTAAAATAAATTTCAAATTATCTTTTCATATTTAATATTTGAAATTGAAAAACACCGACCATTGTTTATCGGGAGTGCATATTAACGAAAGAACCATTTCACTCGCTTATATGTCATCTTAAACACCTCAAAACTCATTGGCTCATGGCCTAATTTTACCTTTTAAAAAATCCATTACAAACAATATGAGAAGAAAATAAATTTTTTTTGAAACATGTAATTAATAATAAAGAGTGTGCAATTTATCGAGCGATGACATGCTCTTTTGCGGATATGGAACCCTCTATATACCTAAAAAGACCAGACACCGGGACCACCGATGTCCGATAACCGGTTTTGTGAAGCTTGCTCGAACGAGCCACGAGATCAAATCTCATAAAATCTATTCGTCACACATCTCGGACCTCCCGACTAATATATTCGAGTCGCTTGTTCATCAAATTACACTCGAGATGAAGTTAGCATAGTGTTTTTTAGCCACAACCTCCCATGCCACTTTGACAAGCATCTCGATGGCCAAATCTCAATCAAAATATTTCGCATGAATAAAAAAATAATATTAACAACTTTATTTAATGAAAATTTTTCATTTTAGTTATAAAGAAAATTAATGATATGTTACTTGAAATTCACTAAAGTAGAATTGTTTAGTGACATCGATGACGAATTTCCAGGATGACCCACCGATGTCTAACCGCTCCTTAAAAATCTTATATATCCTCATGGAATAATCTCTACTAGGCGGAGTGAGACTATCGAATAAAAAAACACAAAAATGATTGAAATTATATATTAAAGTAAAAAAATAATTACATACCGTCCTTAAGCAACAAAAATATGTCATTGATCTGGAGGCGCTATGAGAACTTTCTAGAATGTTAGACACACGAGTAGAGGGGCTACTCTCGGAGGTTGGTGCTAGAACCTTAATTGTCGATACGAGAACACCTACCACGGCGGATGTACCGCCTCCATGACTGCAAAGAGCTATGGGACTCACGTAAAAAGCCCGTAGTCGAAAATCCACAATCGATACTAGTAGGGGATCCTAGTGGACTACCATCGGATGGTGATGCTTGCCCACAATTATCGAAACGTGATCTAATAGTGCCGGTGAAGGGACATGCAAACCACGAGTCGTTGCTATATGATGTAATGTTAAACAAATAAACAAAATATATTATCAAAGTAAATTAATAAGTAAATAAAAAAATATATGATTTGTTATAGATACAAAATAATAAAAATACACAATGAACATTTAATGGATGTATGAAAATCAATATTATTAACCGCATGTAACAAATTAATAAAGAAACAAAAATTACATCATTTCTTACTAATGCAACAAATGAAATATATATTTAATTAGAACTATCGTAATCAATGTTTAAGTTATCATCCCCATTATCCGATGTATTTTCACACTCATTATCATCGTCTTCGTCAACCACACCTACTTCTATATCTACAAACGATACATTTAGATCATTCAACAAAGTGACATCCTTGACTTTCTATCAATTCATGTTGGATTTCCGGATCGTCTTCGCTGAAATGGTTTAGTATTTTATTGGACGATTGTTGATGAATCGAAAAGTTAAACACGAGACCTAACTTTGATCTTACACACGACCCACTAATCTTGGTTCTTGTGCATTAAACTAGGGTACTCCACATAATACACTTGAGTTGGATGTGATGCTAGGATAAATGATTCGTAATTATTCAAGGTTTTCTTATAGTTAATATCTATAAATTTGTACTCGTGAATGAACCTTTGTTCCTTGCAGTGTAGGATCAAACCAATCACATTTGAACAATATTGTTCTCTTAATTGGTAATGCAAGATACTCTACTTCAATAATTTTTATCAATATCCCATAATAATCACTCTCAACTATATTATAATTGCTTCCTTTAATGTAGATGTCACTATTGAAATACCTTGTTTCGAATATCCCTCAAGTGTAAGGAACCTATAACCATTAATAAAATAATCACCGTATAATTTTACGAGTAAACAATGGGCCTTATGCGAGATCTTTCAATAACTCGGTCTTTCATGAAAATTGCTTGGGCATTTTGTGTACGTAAATTAAACCTAAAATCCCTTAAAAGTTTAATTATCTTTTAATTAATGCTATCAACAAACAAAATAAAAATAAAATGATAATACTCACATATTGATTAAACCAGGAGGCAAACTCATTTTTAATTAGAACATCGGCATCATTCTCGATCATAAAGGGATTATTCGGTCGTATTTCGATAAGAAATCCACTAAAGAGAATAGAATTAACAATAAACATGAGTTAATCTCTCCTATGTTGCTAATATTATTATATAATAAAATAAGTATGATATAGAATTTGAATTTTGATAAACTCACTAAATGTAAGGTTTTACTTCTTCATAATTCAATAATATATATCGATAGGTCGCTTTGTGTTTGAGTTATGTCAATTTTCGTATTGTGTGTCGACCAATTGATCGATCTTATTATTTGAATATTGATAATATCCCTTCAATATGGTCGCTTTCTTCTCCATCATAGTAGTCAACATTACGTGGTACTTTCTAATGCCTAGTATGAACGTAAGGCTTGAAATAATGTAAACAAAACAAAAAGGCTTCTTCGACCAAATATTCATTACTTATTGATCCCTCCACTTTAGCCTTATTCTTAACATTATTTTTTTAGCTTTCGTAGATACTTGCAATATAAATTATTTTAACTTTTGAAAGTTAAAAATTATTTAATTTTATATTTAAATTCAATGTCAATACCTTTTAAATCGATACATCCATCGATATTGCATAGTTTCCGTAATAGATACCTCATATGACGGATGGATTGGAAGATGTTTCATGGAGTCAAAAAAGCTAAGTGGAAATATATGCTCTAGTTTGCACAAAATGATGGGTATTTCATCATTAAGCTGCAACATGTCTTCTTCCTTCATTATTGTAGAAGTCAATTGTTTAAAGAACAAACTCAACTCGTAAGTGCTTAACAAACATTTCTCGACAAAAGCTCCCAAAATGCAATTGGAAGTAACCTCTATATGAAGACGTGACGGTTATGACATTTCATCCCATAAAATTTATCGTGCTCGCATATCAACACATCTAGCTAGATTGGATACATATCCATCGAGAAACCTCGGTTGTTTTATCCATTCAAGCAATTTATTTTTTGTTATTTAGATTGAGTAAATACGAGCTTTAAGATACTTTCTAGATGCATCATCCTTTGCTAATTTTGGCTTTTACGGAAAAGCTTTAAGTCTTTTCTAGAGTTGGTATTGTCTTTAGTTTTACTCGGCACATTCATGATTATGTTAAAAATATTATCAAACATATTTTTCTCAA